GCATTTTACACTAGCATTTTAAAATATCAAATATTATGAATAAAATTATCAAAGTATAAATAAGATCTCTACAAGGAAAAATATTAAAAGTGTTGAGTGAAATCTTTTTTTAAAAAAAAAGCAATAACTAGAGAGATATTATGTTCTTGGATTTGAAGCCTCAATATTATAATCACTCCCCAAAATGACTAATAAATTTAATGTGATCCTCGTCAAAATCCCAACAGACTTTTATAAAAACAAACTGACAAACTGATTTTAAAATTTATAAGGCCATAAAAAGAACAAATTATAGGCAAGGCACTTTTGAGGAAGAAAAACTAAATGGGAAAAGTTGCTCTTGGATATCAAGATTTACTACAAAGCTCTCTCTCTAATAACAGAAGTCGTGGGCTGCTGGTGTAAGATCAGACAAGCCAGTGAAACAGATTGGACAGCCCATAAGGAGACCAATACTAATAGAGACATTTCATTTGTGATAAAGGTGATTTCACAGAACAGCAGGGAAAGGGCAATCTTCAATAATTGATGCCATAGACTTAGGAATCCAATTGGAACACTGAACACCCAATTTCACACCACACATGAATCAGGTGGAGTCAGACCTAAATTTCCTTGTGAAACATAAAGAAATAAAACTTACAAAAGGAGAAAAAAAAAAAAAAAGGCAGTGCTGTCTCCATGACCTCAGATTAGAGAAAGATGTATTACATACAACACAAGAAGTACTAACATGAATGACATAGTTTTATTACTAAAATTAAGAATTTCAGTTCATCAGAAGGCACTTAGAGCATGAAAAAGTTAGCTTGCTAAGTTTTTGTTGTTGTTCAGTGCCATTGAGTCAGTACCAACTCTTGCAACCCTACACACCACGAAACAAAACACTGCCCAGTACTGCGCCACCCTCAAAATCGTGGCTACACTTGAGCCCCTTGCTGCTGCCACTAAGCCAATCCATCTCATTGAGGGTCTTCCGCTTTTTCACTGAGCCTCCACTTTATCAAGCATGATGCCCTCCTTCAGGAAGTGGTCCTTCTTAATAATATGTCTGAAGTATGAGAGACGAAGTTTGGTCATCCTGGCTTCTAAGGAGTATTCAGGCTGTACTTCTTCCAGCACAGATTGGTTTGTACTGTTGACAGTCCAGGGCACTTTTTAATATTTTCTTCCAACACCATAGCTCAAATCCATCAATTCTTCTTTATTCAGTATCCAACTTTCACATGCATATAAGGCTATTAAAAATACAATGACTTGGGTCAGGCATACCTTAGTCCTCAAACTGACATCTTTGCTCTTGAACTTTTTTAAGAGGTCTTCAGCCGCAGATTTGCCTAATGCAATACATTGTTTGATTTCTTAACTGCTGCTTCCTTGAATATTGATGGCTGATTTGAGCAAAATGAAGTCTTTGGCAGCTTCAATCTTTTCTTCACTTATATGGGTGTTATTTATTAGTCCAGTTGGAAGGATTTTTGTTTTATTTACATTGAGGTGCAACCCATACAGAAAGCTGTGGTCTTTGGTCTTCATCAGTAAGTATTTCAACTTCTCTTTTACTTTTAGCAAGCAAGGTTGTATCATCTGCATATCGCAGGTTGTTAATGAGTCTTCCAACAATCCTGATGCCACATTCTTCTTCATATAATCCAGCTTCTCAGATTATTTGCTCAGCACACAGGTTGAATAAGTATGGTGAAAGAATACAGCCCTGTCGCACAACTTTCTTAATTTTAAACCATTCAGTGTTCTCATGTTGTGTTCAAAACACTGCCTCTTTGTCTATGCACACGTTCTTCATGAGCACTCTTAAGTGTTCTGGAATAGTCATCGTCTGCAATGTTGTCCATAGCTTGTCATGATCCATATAAGCGAAAGTCTTCCTGTGGTCAATAAAGCATATCTTTCTGGCATTCTCTGCTTTCAGCCAAGATCTATCTGGTGTCAGCAATGATATACCTTAGTCCACGCCCTCATCTGAATCCAGCTTGAACGTCTGGCAATTCCCTCTTAAGGTACTGAAGCAACCATTTTTAAATTATCTTTAGCAAAATTGTACTTGCAGGTAATTTTAATGATATTGTCTGATGATTTCTGTATTCTGTTGGCTCACCTCTCTTTGGAATGGGCACAAATATGGATCTTTTCCAATCATT